CAACTTTCTCTTAATTTACTCCCTTGTAAAGCAAGCACTAACTCTCTCTGCCAGCCTCAAATTACCCATTAGCTCTTCCTTAGACAGTCACTGATAACACTGCTCACCTCACACAATTTACTACTATCCCAAGACCCCAACAACCTTTTGCTAACAAGCTCCCCCTTTCCCAGACCCCTCTTCCTTTGATGATAACTAGACAGCAGTATCTATGATAACTGTCACAAAAACGTTTAATTTAGCATACCATAAATTGTAAACAGAAGAATGCTTTTTCCCCTTGTCCTCGAGAATGTTTTATGGAGATGTCTCGTTGACTTGCCTACACATTACTGCAAGTAACTACTTGCTACACAGTATAAATAAAGACCTGCTGAGGGAATGGCGGGAAGACTTGCACCCGATCCTGACTCCCGGGTCTTCCTCGCACCCGCTCCTGTCTCCCCTTTTGGAATCTCCGCTGGCCGATGCCGCCCCAACTTAGGGTCCTGTCTGTGCTGCCTCCAGACACCTCAAAAGTTGGAGCTGGTCTCCGACACCCTTGGGCTTCCCATCACCACATCACACGTGTCCCATCACCATAGTCCCGTGCTCCCCCCACCCCCCGTTTTTTATCCCACTCCCCGCTCCACCCCCGCAAACTGTCTCTGGTCTATGGCTGTTCATCATTATCATTGTTTTCTCACCTGGTCCATTATACTCCCGCTATGAGTGACACCATCCGGTATTTTTTTATCTCTTTCTGGCTTATCTCACTAAACATGATCTTTTCCAGCTCCATCCAAGTTGCTGCAAAAGACATGTGTTTCTCTTTTTTGTTTTTTTTTTTCTTTTTTGGTTGCTGAGTAATATTCCATTGTATATATGTACCACATCTTTTTTATCCAGTCATCTACTTTTGGGCATTTGGGCTGCTTCCATGTTTTTCCAATTGTGAATAAAGCAGCAATAAACATGGGGGTGCAGGTATCTTTTTCAGTCAGTGTTTTTGTGTCTTTTGGGTAGATACCTAGGAGTGGGATGGCTGGGTCGTAGGGAAGCTCCATGTTGAGCATTTGAGGAACCTCCATGCAGTTTTCCATAGTGGTTGTACTAGACAATCTTGACAGTCAAAACATAGCCTTTTAGTTTTTTATTTAATAATTAAATTTTTTAAGCTTAATTATTCCAAACTTTCATCTGCCTGACATTATTAACCCAAGTAAGAGAAAAAGATTATATAAATACAACCTATTTTAAAACAAATTAATTACTATGAACATTACATTTTTGTTTGTTAGCTTACAGTATTCATAGGCACCATCTAAACAAAATTTAGAACATCTTGAGGCCAAGACAATTAAACACAAGGAAAAGACATACAGTCATGTGACATATAGACACAATTTTTTTAGTTACTCCACGTGGAATCTTATGTAACTGCAGTTTTCCTCATATAGGCCAAAATGATCAAAATTTTAAAAATCAAGAAAAAAGAATAAAAGAAAAATTTTAAGCAAATATCAAAATTAAGACTGAAGGCCTTCTTATTAAAAAATACTTCTAGCATAATTGTGCAGTTGTTATAAGACACCAACTCTGTTCCAGGACAGCAAATCTGTTATAGGGCATGGAGAGAGGGGCACCCCCGAAGCCCCAAAACCTGCCTGCTCTAAGTGGGTTCTGCCATCTGCTGCAACAAGACAAAACATATAAAACTTTAATGAAAAGGGACTTTAATGCAGTAAATATACGGAACACAGAGAATATACCTTCTAAATCAAACGCCTGAAGCCGCCCGTCCCCTCGTGGGCCAAAGTCCACCCAAAGGGACGGGCCCAGAGCAAGGCCTGAAAGCGGCCACAAGACCAAAGCGCCTTCTGGCCGGGACCCACAGACAAGGGTCAGCACCGGCCAGACACGGCTGGGAGCGGGAGAGCACAGTCAAAATCGGTGCAAATGCTGCCACGGTCACCTCCCTGCAGGTCTCTCACCCACAGTCCAGGGCCAGGACACCAGCCCAGTCTCTTCCTCACATGCTTGCTGCTCCCTGTGGCTTCCTCAGGTCTCCTTTTGGTTCTCCATCCTGCTTCCTTCTCTTCTTCTCTCTTCTCCTTTTTCTCTGCTCAGCTCCACCCGCCTTCTGGGTGGGGCAGGGACCCTGGAACTTCCCCTTTTCCTAGGGACCCCCGTTACACAATGTCATTGTTATGTTTTAAATATATTTTTAAAGATTTATTTAATTATCCATACAGAACTGGGGTAGAGGCCAGAGGCTCAGGGACGGCGAGAGGCTTCACCAGAGACAGAGTGGGGAGCAGAACAGGCAAATCGACGAAGTCCACTGCTGAGGGGAGCGGCGGGCGGGTCAGGAGAGGTCTGCCGCGCCATGTGGTCTCCTCCCGGGCAGGCGGGAATCAAACTCATGCGGAAGCGGTTTTAGATTCTCAGTGCTGTGCTTTAACCCGCTGCGCCACCAGGGAGGGCCCAGACTTTTAAATACTTTTTAAAGGAACAAGAGTGGTTAGGGCATGTTTGTCATCAGTTTGTTTGTTTGTTTGTTTTTGAAAGTGCATTTTATTATCTACAAACTGAACAGAAAAGCATTTTAAAGTTGTCGGGGACCGGCCCCGATCACGGATTATTGGGGAGTAAAACAGGCAGGGCCCAAAGGTGGGAGCGGCATCAGGGAGTGGAGATCCCTAAAAGGGGGAAAGGGGAGCGGGCGCGAGGAAGACACGGAAGTCGGCTGGGTGCGAGTGTCCCTGCTCATCTTTTTGCAGGTCTTTATTTGTGCCGTTTGCAAGAGTTAGTTACAATAACGTGACACGAGCTCGGCGACCTCGGTCGGCAGACACGGTGCGGGGGGAGGGGAAATGCGCTGACCTATGGCATGACCTCCCTTGTTGGTACAATCGTAATATCAAAATATTCTGAGCAGCCTTCAGCTTGCAGCTGGTGGCCTCGGCCTCAGGAGGCGCTGCCTGGCCTGACAAGCAAGCCCTGCACCAGGGCGAGACACTCCTCTGAAGTCAAAAGTCATTAAGCAACCGGCAGAGTAATAAACACAATGGCCGTTCCTGCAAAGTCTCTCACAACAGAGGGAGGAAACCCAAATCTTATCACTCCACCTCACAGCTTCTACTCAGTTTCTAAAGAACCACTCCAGCTCCTCTTTGGATATGGAAATTCACCCAAGTTGCCTATTCTGAGCTAATCTGGTTTTCTACCATCTAGACTTCAAGAAAACTCACTTAAACTTTCTAACAAGCTTTCAAAGAACCTTCCCTTAACTTGATTTACAAGACATTTCCTCTTCCTGCCCTCAGTTTACCCCCTAGGATGTCTCTATGAGAGTGAAAGCCCTTAAGTAATAGATAATGTTTCAGGGACTTTATTTTGGTGAATCTTCACTGTGGTGAATATAGTAATATCAGTCTTAAACTTTGTGAATCTGTGTACCTGCTTTAACCTTGATAGACTGATTTTAAAACTGTTATAATCTCAACTGAAGGTCAAAACGACTATTCTTAAATACAAAAAGGTGATTGTGATCTCAGCCCCTTTCATATGCTGACGTCACCCCTCCGCCTGCCTGAAGTGTATAAAATAAACCTCTGCTGAAGGCGGAGCAGGAAGACTCGCACCCAACTCCCATTCCCATTCCCTGTCTTCCTTGCACCCGCTCCCCTTCTTTCCCCTTTTTCCCCTTTGCTAGGAATCTCTGCTCGCCGACGCCGCTCCCACCTTGAGACCCTGCCTGTTCTGCCCCCAATAATCCGTGATCGGGGACAGAGTCTCCGACAATAACGCACCATCTAAGTTAATAAGAAGTCAGCATAAAGTTCTACAGGCAGAGGGGATCATGCCTCCTCTCCCTGCCACTTTATGGCACACGAGGCCGTACGTCTCTGTGAGGGCTATCATGGATGCGGATGTCTGACTACGACTTCACAGACCAGGGTCTGGGAAAGGACGAGCTGTTAGCGAGGGACTGAGGGGTCCTGGGGAAGGAATCGGCTGTGTTAACAGAGTCGTCAGTGAGAGTCTAAAGAGAAGCTCATGGCTGACTTAAGGCTAGCAGAGAGTAGCCAGTTTTTGTTTTAAGAAAAGGTTAATTAAAAAAAGAAGAAGAAAAGGTTAATTAAGACTAGCAGAGAGTAGTTGGTGATTGTTTTAGGAAAAGAGTAAATTAAGAGGAAGTTACATAGTTATGAATTAAGCAAAACCTGTGCCAATAGTGTCAGGAAATTGTCCATGGGTCCTTCTGCTCTGGGAGTTATCTAAGATTTGCCTTTTGTTTCAAAAGACCAAGGAAGCTTCCCAGGAGTCTTGATGCTCCCGGGTCTCATCTCCTGCCTTTTGTCTCCAGACAAAGGAGTTTCCTACCTTGGGGCAGCTCATACTTTGCCTGACAGGCAGCCAACTTAAAGCTAAGGCAATCCAGTTACTAACTGATGCTGCTACAATAGTTTTGATATTATGATTATACAAAAAAGGGAGTCACAACATAAGTCAGCAATGGAAGCTCCGAATTTTCAGAGCGTTCCCATCCGCCCGGAATCTGTCAGTCGACAGAAGTTGCATCGCTTGTGTCGTGTATCTGGGCTCCCGTCCCGAGGAAGCCAAGGGCAACAGGTTTCTGCAAAACCTAACAACCTACCGGACTGTGCACGAGTGATCTCAACTCCCTTTGCACAAGCATCTGTTTGATGATGTCGATGAAGAGCCGCCCTCCTGCGGCTCCCTGTGGCCCCGACTTCGCAGCAGGTCCTGGGTCCTGTGACTACAGCTCTGTTCAGTCTGTGTCTCTGCAGGGGAAGGTGCCCTACCCGCGAGCCGAGGCCTAGCTGGCGCCGGATGAAAGGAAGCGCACTTGACAGGTCCCTGTTCGGCGCCACGTTGCTGGGGACCAGCCCCAACAGTTGGGGAGACGGGGGTTCCCGTAGGAAACGGCGCATCGGCGAAGGCGACTGAGGGACACAGACACTCTCTCAGGTGCAAGGTCACCTGCTGCCGGTCTCAGCGGGTCTTTATTGTTTTCATGTCAGCACGCAGAGGGGTTTCATCAGCATGTGCACCGAGCAAACAAATAACAACGAGAACATTTTCCCAAGAATAGTTTGAAGTCTTCTGACTTCAGCCAAGATGATAAGACTTATCAATTTTACTTTTTTATTTTTCTTTTTATGTTGTTGTTTTTTCTTTTTTTTTTAACACTTATCTATTTTTAAGGAAAACACAGCTAACAAGCAAAATGTTACTATGATTATTCTCTTTTGCAGCTGGGCAAACAATTTACTAGTGATAAAGCAGGCAGATGAATTTGTGTCAGTATAACTTACATTTGTATGTTCTAACAAAAGTTAGCAAAACAAAAGGAAAGCTGCTTTTTTCTGGAGTTACTAAGTTCCTCATTCTCATTAGAGCAGCGTAAACAGACCGGAACAAGGCCAGGCGCAGGAGTGAAACGCTGACTGTCCCCCGCTCCCACACTGAGAGACGTGGCGCGGAAGGCGAACGACAAAGGCTTAAGCCCTCGGGCTCCCGGCGCCTTTTCCTGCGCAGCTCAGTTCAGCGAGCACCTCTGGAGGACGGTGGAATGCGGGAGTCTGAGCGCCTGGTTGGGACAGGAACGTGTCGTCACACGATGTCACTGCGCTGTCTTGCTTTGCCACACTAACTCTACAGCCATGGCCGCCTGCGTTATTAAAGCAGCCAAAGGTGAAGCCAGCGTTTGCCTCATCGAGGGCATCGAAATGCGAAACGGCTGCAAAGACAGGAGTGGCCGAAGCCAGGCAGCAGTGACCCACCCCAGGGGGAGCCAGCCTGGGGTCCCTGGCTTTTCCGGGCACCCCTCGCTCGGACTCTGTCGGCCGGAGGAGACGCTCGGCCCGCACCACTCGGCCCCACCCCGGTCCGACAGGGCAAGGCCTGGCCTGGCCACCACTCACCCGGGGTGGGCGCGTGCTCCGAGCCCAGGCCGGCTCCCCTCGGGGTGCTGGCCATGCAACGCAGCATTCTGGCCATCTCGGCCACCTGCAAAGTACACACGTCAGGTGCTGTCAACTCCTGCCCCGCGCCCTGCACCCTGCACCTGCTCCCCGGGCGCTGAGACAGTCAGGGCGCTGGGCTCATCCTGCCTCCCGGGGCCGAGGAGGCCGGCGGCCAGCAGCACTGCAGGAGGTGACCCCTGGGGCGGGACACCTGAGCCCATGGAAACAATGAGGATCCCAGAAAGGCAAGTCTGGAGACGGGGAGCGCAAGGGCTGACACCCCCCCCCGTGGGGCACCCCATGGTGCACATGACTCACAGAGGCTGAGGGCTCAGCTACGGGCCAGGGGCCAGGAGAGGGCAGCCTGGCCAGCTGTGCCCGTTCAGGGGGTGTCAGCAAGGCCGGCACCCAGGAGAGAAGGGGCCCAGCCGGCCGGCTGATGGTGGCCGCCCAGCGCCAGGACACGCACGCAGCACAGGGCACACCCGCCGCGAGGCCCAGGGAGACGGCACCCGGCGGCCGCGGGGTGGGCGGGAGCCCAGTGCCAGCCCCAGGACACAGGCCAGGCGCACGCACTGCCCCCCGCAGCAGCTGCAGGCCCGCGGCTCCCCACTCCACCGTCCCCTGTGCCCCAGCGGCGGGTCCTGAGGGCGAAAGGCGCTGCGCCCTCATGCCAGGTGCCAGACTCGACCCGGCTTGGGGCAACATGCTGCCAGGCCGTGGGCACGCGGGAGCCATGCACTGGCGGGGATGCGCGGCTGAGTGCTGGGCAGGCGACGGCAGCCCGATTCCTGCCCGTCACTGTCCCTCTGTGGCGCTGCCCCAGCCCAAGGGCCTGGAGCCAGCAGCTGGCTGGGTGTGCTGGCCAGTGTCCAGGGCCGCGCCATCATGGCCGGGCCCCGGGGGTCCCGGCCCCAAGCCAGGCCTGGGCCTGGGCCCCACCTGCTCCTCCAAAGAGGTCAGTCTCTGCTCCAGGGAGCCCGACTGCCTCAGACGGTCCATTTCCAGCAGGTCCACTATGGCATCCACCCTGAAAGAGGGCACAGCTGAGCCTGGCCAGGCCGGCCACCGGAGGGTGGCTGCGCTCCCAGAGAAGCAGGGCAGGGGGGTGGTGGTGAAGATGGGCTGAGCTCACCACCCCCGGCTGCCATCCCAGTGGGCACCCGCCCCCCCAGGCTGCCACCCCAGTGGGCACCCGCCCCCCCAGGCTGCCACCCCAGTGGGC